CCCCCCCCCCCCCCCTTGATTTTCTCTACAGGCGTGTGGCAGATTTCTCAAACGAAAAAAAAAAAAAGGTGTCCTTTATTACTTGCGACAGCAAGTCCTGGGGGTAAATTTACTTTAGGAATTTGCATTGGCCAAAAAATAAACGCACACGTGTTTTAAGCAATCACAAAAGCTTGTCAAATGTACACTTCAGCAGAAGCCTTTGGTACAGGCTAAGTAAACACGTCCACACGAGGGAAAAAAGCAGCCCATGCAAGTGAAATTCAGTGCCTTCAAATCTGAAAACAAAACCACAGAAAAATCTCTTTAATGTTAAACTTAGGCAACAGTTCCACAGTTTGTTAATCCAAGGTAAGTGCCAACTGCTACCAAGTGAGATGTTCTTGCTGCTTCCCTGGCCTTATTTTTCCCTTTTTGCAGAAAATAGATGCTTTTTTTTTTTTTGATCATGTCCAGCTAAGTCAGTTCCCTGATCCAATCCACCTCTTGGCTGCATGATTACTAAGGCTGGCAAAGAAGAGGCGAGGGAAACGTGTAGACATGGGCAGCATTACACGTTTTCAGCTCTCAACTTAAAGCAATCATGCAACCACAATTTCAGGTATACTGAAATCAAAAAGCCTACTTGCAAGTAAATAAGGAACAGGACATTGGGTCTATGTGGTCTTGCATAATTATTTGACGTTTATCATGCACAGGTTTCCTGCTGTAAAATTGAAAACCCAAAACCAAAGTTAAATACAGAACAAGCTACTTGCCTACTATGGAAAAGCACAGAATTGGCTTCTGATTTCTGGGAAGAAGACTTGGGCTGGCTCACAAAAACTAGCCTTCCGCAAAACTCTTTTATTTGCAGAGAGTTCGATGTCTTCATCTGACTGACATTCCTTTTGTTTTCTGGCATAGTTTCTCAGAAGCTTGCAAGATAGGTGTCCTTCTGTCATTACCTGTACCTTTCGAGGAAGACCAATCTCTTTTTAATTTTCCCATCCCTCCTGTAAGAAAAGCCATTCTGCAATGAATTTGAGTTACCATTGTTTGGTAGCGTGAACAGGCCTGGACTGCTTCGTGCAGGTGCTTCCTCTAGGCCTTTGGCACCGTTGTGAGCAATATATCTACCCAAGTCATCGCTGCTGTAATAAATGTGAGTCTTCACTAAGCACTTAAGGCCTCCTCCCATCGTAACTGGTGCGTTCAAAGAACATACCACTGCCAGTGCCTTTTGTATTCTCTTCTTTTTTATATTAGCTACCACTTTGGTTTCCTGTCCTGTTCTGTTGTCACTCATTGTGGGTCTCCCCACAGTGTGCGTCTGTTCCTATGAAAAGGCCTGTCACATATGCTTGCTTTATTTCTGTCTCAATTTTAATCTTCAGGAGTTGGATATATCTCATTTTTCCTATGACAAGTTTACACTTGCTGGATGTCTCTGACAATGCATAACATACATACACTAGAGATCAATACTAAACAGAATCAAAACAGAAGTGTTGATGTCTGACTTTAATATGGCTATATTCCCACACTGAATGGTAAGATGGATTGAAAGTCATAGCACTGCCTTTTATCTTTTAGAAGTTGTTTTTTCCACTGGCTGCAAATGAACTCTTGGTACAGGAAACAGATTGTGAAACTGGCTCCAAGGCCTAAACTCCAGATTTCAGCTCTTTGTTTTATAGGTTTTAGTGTAGCACTTTGGTAATGGAGATGAAGGTGGCTTTATTTTTTTTCAAATCAAATCTCTGCAGTTTTCCGATACTGGGTCAAACTTCTGTATGTACTGCAAGACTTCGTGGAAATCAAGGTCAAAGGCTACTAGCAGAATTAATCAGAGCCTGAAGTTAAGGGAGTGTATTTGTTTCATTTGTGCGTTCACTGACTGAAGTTAATATGGTTGTTTTGATTCCGAAAGAATGGGTAAGAGAAAAGCAGGATTACGAAGGAAACAATCTGTCAACTCATCCAGAATTACAGCATTTGAGTTTTTTAACTCAGCTGATAAGCTGAAGTAAAACAATTTTGTAACTGATTTAAGTCTCAGTATTTCCTTCCTTGATTATTTATCAACTTCCCTCTTTTTTAATTAGAAAGGACTTTTATAGCTGTATGCAAATTATATCCAACTGCAAAATTATTTTTTTGAAAATATAAAGTAATTCCATTCATGTCATTTTCTCTTCTTCCTCTGGTATAAATAAGAGCTAAACTGTATTTCATTTACTTTTAAAAGTTTTTCCCAGTTTCGGTATGTCACAAGAGAGCTCTTTACTGGAGAGTTCACTTAGTCAATTACTGGAGAACTAGTAATAACACAGTAAAACTTGTGCACCTTGGCATAAACTGCTTTTTCCTTCGAATGCTTTCATTTACACCCATTTTGTTAAAGCTTACTTCACTGAAACTAGCAAATATGTAGGGAGAGATCTCTCTCTTCTAAACCTACACCCTCCTCTTCCTTTCGGATCTGGGTTTTGGCTTCTTGCCACAGTATCTGGGCACTTCACAGTATTTAATGCCTTTTTCTTCACAGTAGACCTCTGAGGAAACAAACTTCTGTGACTCCTGTTTTACAGAGAGACACCAGAAACCCAGAGGCTACTTCTGTACTGTCTTTGAACTGAGGCCCAGCCTTGGTGTCAAGCCCAGATTCATGTATCATCCTAACAAACTGGCCTGACTGATCGAGAAAGCCCCAGAATAAGGTGTGGGAGAAAACTTGGGCTTGTTTTACTTCTCAGCACATGCCTGTACATCTGCAATCTGGTCTGGCCTAGTGTGGGCTGGGTAGGCACATCTGAACCAACCTCTGCCGCCCTGCCTCATTAGAGGACACAAATGAACAAGGATGGATAAGGTGTCCATTAGCTTCTTTAGAAGAGCAAATCTTTCTGGCAGAAAGACTATGGAATAGGTTTATGCTGAAGCATGGGTTGCTGTGAGAAGATCTTGGCAATGATGTACCAGAACTACAGGCATCTTAAGGCAATGCTCTGCTTTGTTGAATCGCTGGCTATATTTTATTTAGCTGTATAAACATAGCCTGAAAGATGAAGGGCTGGACCCCAGAAAATAACATGGGTAAAGTAAAAATTCTGATGCAAAAAACTCCACTGAGCAGCCACCTGAACTCTGTTAGTCTGTTTCTGGATAGAAATGTTCAGAATTGCCCCAAGCTGGGCGTTTTGGCACCTCTCTCCCCTTTGTGCCCACTTGTGATGCAGGAAATAGGTAGAGCAGCTCCGAGAGAGACCCGGCCAAGAGGAAGTTCTCTGAGCTCAGCAAACACATCCCGGTAACGTCAGGTGTTTTGTTACAGCCACTGCTGGTTTTAATACCTGGCTGCCTATGGTAGATTGTTCACCTTCCATGCAATAACCCGGTGAAGAGAGAATTTCCTCTCAGTTTGGGGAATCAACATCCAATGTCCTCTTCAGCTCAAGGGGATTTAGATCAATGTCTTGTGCGCCCCGGGGGACTGTCCTAGGTGCTCAGATGTGCTAGAAGGTACTGGAAGGTAAAAGGGAAGTAGTCACCATGTCATCTGAAGGTGTGTCCTTGTCAGAAAAGAAGGAAAAAGT